TCATGAGCGGTCCTTAAGGTGTTAAAAAGCAGACTAGCAGACTGGCAAGCAATGACACACCCAGGTGAATGGCGTTTCCCTTCAGCATTGTTTTTTGGGAGCTCTTGTAGAACACACCCAACACTGCGTCTGAATGTGAGTGTTGGTTTCCAGTGATGCTGCCTTTTCCCAAATTATTGACAGGATTCTTGGGGGTAGTCTTGAATCTGAACACAACCCTTGGTCTTTCTTTAGCAGTCGTAGCATGGTGCATGGGTGGGTAAGACTCCATTGAAGGTTGCTCACCTACCTAAGGGAAACAAATTGCCATCTAGACCAGCTGAAGTTACTCAAAGCAAACCAAGACCTAGGGGTGCTAGACCCGGGTGACCATCAGACCATGCAGCACCTGTTGGGCTGAGCCTTCTCTTGGCTAGATTTTGTTTGCCCTACTAACAGTTCTTTCTAAACCATGCTCCTCAGCTGGGACTGGTTTCAAGGTTACCATTTTTTTGTTACTTATTTAAATGTACATTCTATTTTATATTCACTAAAAAAAAAACCGCATTATTTTATACTAATATGCACCACAAGTTTGGGACTCTCTTTGGAATCTCACTGGTGCCACTTTTTGGCCACAGCTTTCTTCCAGCTTCCCTAATAAGAACAGGTAGGCCTTTGGCTCAGTGACTGTTCCCTTCTCCAGTGACCTCCCAGCTGAGTGTCCGCTCCATGGGAAGAGACTGGCTGGAGTCTGGAAAAATGCCGGTGTTCAGACACATGAGGCTGAGTAATGGGAGGATGGTCCCACAGCAGGACTGCCTGAATGTCCCAGGGTCATGAGCTCTCAGCTGCCTGTCATTGGCATTAGGGAAAATGTGTTAATCTCAGGAAAGGAGAGGCTGCCCTCATTCTAAGAGTTGTCATCATCTGCAGGCATGTGCTAATAAGCACAGTGCACATTAACGACATCTCACCTAGATACTGCAAGTCTCAAATATGCCTATACTGGGGTCATGCTGATAGGGAAGTTCTTTTATAATTATATTTAGTGTGTCTTCTGATTCAATTGTATTCTACATTTAGCATCAAAAACATAAAAAGCCCAGAATATCTATAATTCCAGTAAATACCTTATTATTCAGAAATAGCCACTTGAGATATAGTCAACATTACATGTATAAACACAGACACACACACATTTGAACCATTTTATAATCTGGCTACTTCACTTCCAAGGATACTGTGAACCTTTTCCATGTTATTAAATATTTTTTCTACATGATGATTTTTTTTAAAGTGTACCAGATTCCATTATACCTACATATATAATTTTAACCAGTCTCCTCTTCATTAGGCCATTGCTAACTTTTTTGCTATTATAAAAATCTGTAGAATGGACATGGGGTTATATATATAAATCCTCTGGCACATTTCTGATTATTATCTTGGGCTGAACTCCTAAAAGTAGAACTTATGAGTAAACTAGTATAAATATCTTCTAAGTTTTTTTAAACTTTTTAATTGACAAAAATTATATGTAACAGGTACAACATGATATTTTGAAGTATGTGTACATTGTGAAATGGCTAAGTCAAGCTAATTAACATATGTGTTATATCACATACTTATTTTTTGTGATCAGAACACTTAAAATCTACTCTTTTGGCAATTTGCAAGAATACATTGTTATTGCCTATAGTCACCATGTTGTACAGTAGATCTCTTGAACTTATTCCTCCTGTCTAACTGAAATTTTGTATCCTTTGACCAACATCTTCCCCTGCCTCACCTCCACCCCCCTAGCCCCTGGTAAACCCCATTCTGTTCTCTACTTCTGTGAGTTAAGTTTTTTAGATTCCACATGGAAGTGAGTTATTACAATATTTAGCTTTCTATGCCTGGCTTATTCCACATAGCTTAATGTCCTCCAAGTTCGTCTGTGTTGTTGCAAAAGATTTCCTTCTTTTTAATTAATTGTATTCCACTCTACATATATACACCACAGTTTCTTTATCCATTCGTTCATCGATGGACACTTGGGTTGATTCCATGTCTTGGCTATTGTGAATAATGTCACAGTAAACATGGGAGTGCAGACATTTCTTCCATATACTAATTTCATTTCCCAGAAGGGGGGGGGTTTGCTGGATTACGGTTGTTCTATATTTAATTTTTTGAGGAACTTCTGTACTGTTTTACACAAGGACCGTACTTTAAGGTTTTTGATTCATATGGCAACATTTCCCTATGGAAAGATTATACATGTTTATATCAGATTAACTCAGTGCTCATTTCCCCAGATCCCCGCTAACACTGGGTGTTTGGGCAGGAAAGGTGTAGTTCACTGCTCGTCTTTGTGGAAGTTCGTTGAAATCCGTCTGTTTCCCAGGGACTAATAATTGACATCACCTCTGCTCTGCTGGTTTTAACACATTTCATACCGCATAGAAATCTCTAAGACATACACCAGGGACCGCACATTTTGGGGCAAACTGCACGTTATTTAAATCATCATAACTACAGATCATAATGCATTTTAGGTGTTGTTTTTCAATAATTATGCTTTTATTTACAAAAACAATTAAACAACTAGTTAAACAATTAAAGTTCCTAGTACTTTTTTAAAGTATGGTACTGCGTAAAACATTTTCCTCTATGGAGAGGGACCAAACAAAATTTACATAAGTATCTAGATTTGCTCCTTTTTCCACGGGCGGCACAAACTCTGCAGGCTCTCATAGGAAAATTTTTTTTTTCACTTGCTGGAATACATATAGGTTCATGCTGCTTCATATCACTCAACAACCTGTTGGGTGGATCTTTACGAGGTGCTCTCCTTGCACCCCCAAGGGAAGGGCTGGACAGATTTGTCTCTGGTTCCGGACAGCCTTCATTACTATCATCTGTTATCCAGTCTCTCGCCACCGATAGCAGAAACTGTTTATACTTCATTTTTGCTTGTGGATTGAGGACATTGTACACTCTAAATGAATTGAAAAGTCCACAGTTTATAAGGTACAGCACTATTTTTTTTTTTTTGTCCATTTCATTGTTTTCCTTAGAATGAAACAGCACGAAAGGAACTGATCCGCACGGTCAGTGCCTTTCATGTGGGCATCGTATTCCTTGATGCAGGCAGGTTTTACAATATCCTCTCCTGTTTTTCTATTTTTTTTTTTTCCTGTGGAGACAAGAGTGTCATGGATCGTTGAAATCATTCGGACAACTCACTTGTCTTTCCATGCAAGGAGAAGACTATCGCCTTTTCTGGAAAATATTATGTCACCTTTCTTCATTCTTGATGTTTTCATTTTCAAATTTGGCGGTGAAGCTCCACCCTCCCTATTGGATGAGACAGTGTGTTGACATGTAAGGTCCATAACAGATGGCGCTCGAAACACAAGAAAACTCGTGAGTGGTATGAAAGGTGTTAATGAGATGGGAGGCCACTCCATTTGTCACCTACGGGTTTGGGGTTTTCAGGTGCATGGAAGTGCCTGGTGTGGAAGCAGTGTGGCCCAGTGTGTGGGGGACAGAATACTTAAGATACTCATGAGACTTCCGCCTGCTGGTGTGCACACGCACCAATGAAAGGATTTTGATTTTGCAAGTGTATTACGGTCCTAAATCAGTTACAGGGAAATTACCCTGTGTGGGCCCGACCTAACCAGGTAAGCCCTTAAAAAGAACTGGGCTACTCCTGGCAGAAAAGAGATTGCAAGCTCGGGAGAGATTCGGAGAAGAGTCTCTGTGGCTGGCTTTGAAGATGGGAGGGGTTGCATGGCAGAGGCAGTTGCCTTCTTAATACCAACGTTTTAATCTCCATCAAGAGATTCCTTCTGGGAAGTGAGGTAATATCAGGAAAAGGCACAGAGACCCAAATAAAGCACCGAAGATCTGCCGAGGTGTCTCCAAAATCGTGTGGCACTACCAAGCCGTGGCCTGGCAGAGAGCCACTTCCCCCGGAGGACACCCAGGCGTGTGTTGGGAGCAGCTGTAGAATTAGACCTTCGCTCACTCGCTCTCCTCTGCCTTAACATCAGTTGCCCATGTTTTGCAAGTGAATCCCCCAAAGTCATTTGACCAAGGACAGGTGCAAGTTGATGAACTGGGTCCTCCATGTGGCCCACCTCCGTGACTCTCAGTGGAGGCGTCACCGGCGTTTTGCACAGACCAGCCTTTCACGTAGCTGGTCTGAGCCTGCGGGATGGTTAGGGTTTGCAGTGACACCCTGCGAGGGTCAGAGTGCTCCTCGAACACAGGGACAGGCACAGGGGAGCACGATTAGCTTGTGGACTGCTGCCAGCAAAGGCACCCAGAACATTCCATGAGAACGGCTGTTCTCCCTAAAGGAGGTGCCAGTTAACCCCCACGTGGTTAATTTTTCACGGCTCCATCAGCCATCGGGAGCACCGGGAGCTTCTCGGATCCATTCCCTTTCCCGTGTCTGCCCCTCTGATGTTCGTGGGGGCAGCACGGGACACAGAGTTCAGAAATTGCTTACTTTATGAAGTTTCCCAAAAGACCCAGTTTCTTACTAAGTCTAGTATGTCCTCTTCGCTGGCCCTGAGCCCTCAGGTGGATTTTTAACCCTCAATCCTGTCTCCTCCGCTACACCATGAGGTGAATCCGCCTGCCTTTTGGGGAGGGAGGGGGCACCGTGCAGAACAGTCTCCGTGAACACGCTTTGTAAATTAAAACGCTGTGTTCGAATAGAAAGTGCGCAGACAAGTATATTCCTAACAGGTGAGCTAGGCTTTTTGTTTATAGCAAATTTAAGTCTCTCTCGAGTGTCAGAACTGGGGATTATGTCTGCATAGACCTGGCCTGCTGGCGTCATCCCTTGTAACTGCTTGTCCTCTTCCTTCTGTGCTTCGGGCTGTCCAGATGGAAGTCTCTGGGGCTGAGTCACCAGCCACCTGAGCTTCGGGGTGGCCTTACTGGTGACCTGTGGCCTAACGACAGAGCCCCATGCTTCCCAAGCTTTTAGCCTCCTGACCTGTGTGTGTCTGTTCCAGATTTACGTCCACCTGAAGGAGGGCGGGGGCCCAGACGGCCTGGACGCGCTGAAGAATAAGCCCCAGCTGCACAGCATGGTGGCCCGGAGCTTGTGCCGGAACGCGGCGGGCAAGAACTACATCATCTTCACGGGGCCCAGCATCACCAGCCTGACCCTGTTTGAAGAGTTCGAGAAGCAAGGTTTGTTGAGTGTGGAGCCAGTGGGAACAGGGCCCCCGCCTGCCCTGGGGACGTGGTGGGAGAGGTCTGGATAGGGTGCAGGTGTGGCGGGGCCGGCACACACCACCCGATGCCAGGCCGGGCGGCCCTGCCTTGAGGGAACAGGTGCATCTCGGCCACCCTGCGTGCCAGGACCCTCCGAGCACTAGAGATCTCAAGGTGTGCGAGTCGTGGGTTCACAGCCTGCAGGATGTGTTGGCACGAGGCCCAGTCTTGAGGGCACTTGTTTGTGTGTCCTTTGTTGTCAAGCTGCAGCCAAGCCTGAGATTCCTAGGCACAGCGCCTAGCAAGGCTCTAGGAATTCTCCTGAACTCACCCACCATCTGTAATGTGGCCCCTTCCTATTGGATGGACAAGAACTGCGTGAAGACAGGGAGTGACACTGTGGCCTGGGAAAGGTCTTGGGTCCCTGAGTTCTAAGATGCTTGGTTCATTCATTGCAAAGAGACTGGGCAGGCCCTCCATGGCTCTGGCAGAAATGGTAACTACAGAGGAGGAAGATCGGGACCAGGTCAGAGAGCCCTGTGGCAAGTTGCGTTCGTCTCTCTTTGTCCTACATCTGGGGATTTACGTCCAGTCCTCACAGGAGCAGCACAAAAAGCTCCCTGTCATCTGCAGCAGCCACTAGCATTGCAGACCTTTTGCTCAGCACAGACCTGACATCTGGCTTTAGAACCAGACCCTGCTAAACAACAGGGAGCAGACAGCTTACGTGCTGGGGCATTGGCAGCTGCGGTGAGGAAGCGGCCGGGGCTCTGCGCTCCTTGCTGGCCTGGGCTGCGTCACTTACCTGCACGCTGGTGCCCAGCACAGCTCAATATTTATTTGTTGAAAGAATCAAGCGTAGAGAGATCAGACTGTGTGAAGAGGGACCATGGAAGTCAAGTTAGAGAAAATTGGCCCTCGTGCACATTAACCAGTCACTTTGGAAGAACGGTGGGTTCTCTGTGTTCAGGCACATGGTGAGAACTGGGGCTGCTGCCCTCTCCTACCTGCCTGCAGGTGCAGCGCGCATGGCGATGCAGCCCCTAGTAGCGCTCGTGTTATAGGGCCTACGCCCTGGAGCAGGAGCCAGTGGTGTGTTCTGTGGCAGCTCATCATGCATGTGTGTGTGTGTGCATGTGGTGGAGTTAATGTGCAGACAGCCTCCTGGAGGAAGGAAATTTGGGGATGCCAGAGGACTGTCCTGGGCCATGGGCTGCTGCTCCTGTGATTCCCAGGAGAAGGGGACACTCCCTGGTTCAGGGACTTTGGGGAAAGAGAGAGAATCTTCTAGCTGGAAGAAAATAGACAGGGAATTTGGATTTTTTTTTCCCCCGAGAGGTTAGGTAATAGATTAAAAAGATCTCCTTGCCTATTTTTAGAAGCATCTAAAGTTATTAAGTGCCTCACACAGGGCGCCACGTGCTTCCTCTGCAAGGAAGGAGGGAGGTGGTTTCTTCATCCTGCCCGAGTGGGGGTCACTGAGGGCCGCGCCCACCCTAGGGTTCTACGGGCAGCCGGGGTCAAGGAAAAATGTCACAGTGAGAGAGTCTGGTTGTCTCTCCGAGGGCGCACACAGCCTACTTTGTGAAATAAGAGCCGGAAAGGACACTCAGAATAACCCGTTTTCCCGTAGGGATAGATACAGGAAAACTCAGAGTGCTGCCTGCGTGTTCTTCTCTCCCTCCCGTGAAAATGCGGCTGGTAGAGTAGACTGAGCCCCAGATGGGCGATTCAAAACATTCTTACTCTTGTTCACATAATCCTCCCCATTTTAAAAAACAGATTGTCTTCTTTTTAAATCTCGAGATTAGTTTGGGTGGTCCCATCCAACTGCTAGGAGCAGAGTTACGAGACGCAGGGAGGCCTCTTCTTCCCAGCACACTCGAGCGTGCCGGCCGCCGCACGCAGGGCAGGGGCTCTAAGAGGAGGAATTGGAAGAGGGAAAGGATTTGTCCCATTGTCCTTCCAGTGCGGGGCGGAGACACAGTAATGTGGAAAGCGTTCACAGGGCATACACAGTGTGCTCAGGTGACTGATGGCACTGTCGGTCCTCAGCTGAGGGGGCAGGAGCCTGTCCCCACGGTCCCCATACCTCCTCTGGGCAGGCAGCGTGCCTGGTGGCCTGGCAGGCTGGGGCAGGCCCATGAAGGGGGCGTCCAGTGAGTCCTAGCTGGGTTTGTTCATACTGGTCCCTGTGAGCCACCTTCCACCCCGCGAGAATCTCCGGCTCTGAGAAGCCAAGTCCCAACTCCTCGTCCCTCAGGGAGCTCTCCGCCCACCTGCAGAAAGAACACTTGCTTTCGTCCATATCGTCTGATGATTCTCCCTCTTGCATTTCACTTTCTGAGAAGGGGTTTCCGTCAGACACAATTTCCTGGTGCTGTGTGGACTGGCCGGGTCTTGGCGAGGCTGTCAGGGTGACCACCATAGCGAGGCCTGGACATCAAGGCACACCTGGCCTCCGTGCCTGTCTTTGCCCTCCTAGCTGTGAGCCTGGGCGGCCTCAGTCTCCGTGCATGCTGTAATCTCCCGAGCGCAGAAGTTTCTGCAAGTAGATGGGGTGATGGGTGCATGTGCTGGCCCCTAACAAACGCTCTAACGAGAGCCGCTGTTGTGCTGTGGACCCATTGCTTGTCCTACGGCCTCACTCGCGAACTTAGTACACCGTGTGTGCTTGTGAAAGAACCTGGGGAGATTGTCACCCGGGGAGACAGTAGAGGGATAAAAGACCCCACAACTTCAGCTGTCTCCTCTAGAGGCACTGCTAGAGGACCCGTCTCCCAAGCATCAGCCTCAGGCTGGGGCACTCCGGTCCTTTCCTTGGGGAAGCACGGGGCTGGGAGCCACTGGCTTCTCCGACGGTGGCATGTGTGTGACTCTGTGTCCCTCTCCCCGCAGAGATTTACTGCTGCGGCCTGCTCAGCTCCAGGAAGAGCGACTGCACCGGCCTCCCGCTGTCCATGCTGACCAACCCGGCCACCCCGCCGGCCCGGGGCCAGTACCACATCAAGATGAAGGGGAACATGTCCCTGATCTGCTGGTACAACAAGGGACACTTCCGCTTCCTGACCAACGCCTACTCCCCCGTGCAGCAAGGTGAGTGCAGACCCGCATTGGTGTCAGGGAGGTTCAGTGAGCCTGGCTGAGATGGGGGAGTGGGAAGTCCGCTGTCGGCTGTGTGGCTCTGGGGTCGGGCCAGCCTCGGTCATTCATCAGCTCTGGGTCGGTGCTAACAACAGGACAGCGAGGACGGAGCTTCCTGAGCCCTTTGCTCCGTCACTCGTGAGCGGTCGAAGATGCCAGGCTGACGGGGCTTGCAGGTGACTTACGCAGCTTCTGTAGCCCCCAGGTTGTACACAGGGAGTGATAATTGGCGGCGTTTGAGTGACATTTCACGTCATCCTCTGGGATTCTGCAAAAAATTATCCTGATGGGAGGGAAAAATCTGTTCTTACCTTTCAGTGTCTTCCTTGGAAGATAAGCACCTGGTTGTCTGGTTTGTCGACAGGTCTTTTGATTTCTTCATTAATTTTCTTTGGATTTAAAATCCGGTCCCAAACAAAGGGACTTATTTAGCGAGGAGTCTATATTTAAAGGAACCTGTAGCAAAAACATTGAGAAAATGCTGAAAAGACGACTGAAAGGACAAAGAGGCATTTTAGAAATAGTTACAATCGCATAGTGTAGATGAGCAGCCTCTTGCCTGCCTTTACCGGAAGGTACCTTCAGGGAACACTGTTTCAAGGGGCTCAGAGGTGTGTGTGTGTGTGTGTGTGCACTCGTGCATGTGTTGTGTAAGTTTGCATAGTGTGCTGTGTATGTATATGTGTGGTATGTGTAAGTTTGCAGGGGGGGGTGTCGTGTGGTATAGTGTGTGGTGTATATATTTCTGTGGTATGGTGTGTGTACATATGTTGTGTGTGCATGGTGTATGTATTTCCATGGTGCAGTGTGTGTGTTTAATGAACGTCCGCTTATTCCCATCCTTCCCCACACACTTACATTGGAGATGGTGAACGAGGGACTCCAGCAGGTGGCTGTCCTCACCCTGCGGAGATTTGGAGGCTGCCAGAGCTGGCACCCGTGACAGCTGTGTCCAAGGCCCTTAGAAGGAAGGTCCAGAGTTGGCCTCGCACGCTGAAGGCAGAGTTTGGATTGGACCCCCAAGACTTCGGTGGCCGAGGCCACAGTGCAGGTCAAGGGAATTGCAGGGAGCACGTTTGGGAGTTGGGGACAAGAGCCGATTCCCACCGACTTATGGGATGGCCTCTGAAAAGGCATCCCAAAGCCGGACGTTGCACTCACCAGAGCTTAGTGAAATAATGCACTGGAGAGAAAAGCAAGCGTCTGGACTGTCGGAAGGAAGCATGGAGTAGGCTCTACCCCAGTCTGAGGGATGGGGGACAAGTAAGGAGGGCTGATGGGGGAGCAGAGAAAGCTTTGGGGGCTGATGTCTAAATCCACTGAAATTCAGTGTTTGTATTTAATGTGGTTACAACTGTCAGTCCCAAAGTACTCTACTGACACCACGAAGTCCCAAATCCTAAATCCCAGGGAGCATTTCCCCAGCATCACTGCCTCCTCCCACCCCACCTGCCTCCAGAAAGCCCCCTCGGGGAAGTCCACACTCAGGTGAGCGCAGGCCGGGCGTGGCTAGACCCAGGCAGGAACCGCCCAGGGGAGGATGAGATCCACCACTGCCCTCTGCCCTGGAAATCCTTTTTCTAGTTCACATCTTAGAGTTCTTTCCCTTCTTTAGTAAAGAGGGAGAGTTTTCTTCTTAGTGCACTGTAAAAATGTGATTTTCAAAAGACCACCTAGGACTCCCTCCTTTTAGACGTGCCGTAATCTCCACCTACTCCCCTAGTGGCGAGTTTTCATGTTTTCACGATATGATCAACTACAGCAAGTGTCTTCGCACATCAATCTTCGGGTACATCTTTGACTATTTCCTCGAGATAAATCTAAAAGTGGAAGCGCCGCTCCAAAGGGGAGGAACATCGTTAGGTCTGTGCTGTGCCGCTGCAGGTTGTGCTTCCTGCCATTGCGCTGGGTCGCCAGGGACTGGCGTCCCCCGGCTTCACCAGCGCTGCATATTTCTTGTTTAAATTTGTCAATATGACAGGTGAAAATGCTCCAAATTTTTAAATAGAAATTGCTGAGGCTGTGGGTGAGGTGGAGCAGATCTCTCCATGTGTTTATTGCTTGATTTCAAATGGTTTCTTCATGGTTCTTTACAATTTGCTTCTGAAGTATTTGTCTTTTTCTCTTTAACTTGAAAGCAAATTTTCTGCATTTTCCTTTTGTTTTTTACTTATGAGGAGTATTTTTTAACATAAAAAGTTTTCCATTTGCACATTGGCAGTAAAAGTCTCTCCTTGGTGCCAAGGCCAGATAAGTGTTCATTCATGGGGTTGGTTTATGGTGTGAGTTCGTACTCATCACTATAATCCACTTCAAATTCACTTAGCACATAACAGCAACAATGGGTCAAAGCCCACGTGATGCCAAGTGGCCAGGGTGGGTTGACCAAGCAACCCCTCCTCTGTGCCTGAAACATTTGTCCAACCATTCACCCTTTCTCTACTTATCTTAAATGTCACACAGGTGATAAACTGAAACCTCAGAGTCTAAAGACGGCTTTCTCAGCTTTGTGTTACGTTCTGTGCTATTCTGACCACGTGTGCTCTTCTTGAGGTTGCGCAGAATTTCCAACCTTAGAAAAGGGATAACTAGGTGTGAACATTTCAGGAATTGGTTTCTCATTCTTCACTCTAGGTTCTAGGGGAACATGAGCCTTCTTCCCTAGAACATGAGCATAGACACAAGCTTTTTCAAGATTAAATGCTGTCACACGTCAGGGGGCTTGTGTGCTGTGAGCCAGACCCTTTTGCTTTTCTTCCAAAATCCATTTTGAGTCTGTCTTCTGCCTGCTGAGGTCTTTGCCCATGTAAGATTCAGATTCACTAAGCCCGATGAGAATGCAGGACACGTCTGCGTATGAATGCGAGTCAGGTCTGGAGGCGTCCATTCAGGCTTGCAGAACGGTGGCAAGGGTGTCAGCCAAGCCACCGAAAGCTAAGGAAGGCGGTGGACACAATGGCTGCTAGAGTGGGAGGACACAGCCATGGAGATCTACAGTGCGACAGAGAGCCACAGAGAAGACAGACATGCGTATAAATGCCTGCTATGAATATAAATGTATGAATATATATAAATATATAAAATGAATATAAATGTGTGAATTTGTGGATGACGTGCATGTCATTGTCGATTGTGAAGTCAACTGTCAGTACCCTCTCTTTAGCATTTCCAATGTTTCAAGCTCATGGCATGGGTGCTGTGGCCCTCTGGCACGTCACCTGATGCCCCTCAGTGAGAGGCGAGAGGGGCTGGCCCCAGATGGCATAGGGGCCTGTAGGGACATGGCCATTTTACTTTGACCTTGTCCAGTTAAGTGAAAGTTCACAATCCTGTGAACTAATCTCTTTAAAAAGTGCCAAAAGATGGCACTGTGCCTGTGACCTCATCATGCTGGGCGAGTGGGCTGTCGGAGGAAACGGGAGGTCAACCCCAGCCGTGCTTAAATGGATCCTTTTCCATCTGCTGCTGGGACCGTGGGCAACAGCAAGAGGAGGCTAATCGGTTCCCAGTGGTTCCCCAGGCCCTGCTGGTGGGATTCATGAGTCTTGCTGTGACCTTGGCTGGGCCCGTGGGACTCCCACATACACCCCAAAGTCCTGGGAGGCATGGAAGGGAAGGGAGGGCAACCTCCTGGTTCTGCTGAGCCTCTAAAGCCACCTGTTGGCTTTGATGGAAGCAGATGGAAATGATTCCTCGGTGCCCCCTGACCTCGGCCGCCTCCTGCTCTTCCCAGCACCACCTCCCCCAGCCTGGCAGAAGCGCGAGTCCTGTGTCCCCCCCACCCTTTCACCCCCATCCAGGTGCAGCACCCTGCCCTGTGCCTCCCAGAGCCACCTGTCATGACCCTGTACACTCTGTGCCACCTGTGACTCAGGGCACTGTCTCAGCCGGCGCACACCTTTGCACTTGCCTGTCTTTGAGGTTTTCCTCAAGTCCTCTGAAGCATCTGGTGGCTGGTCCTGCTAGTTCTTCCCCCCACCTTCTGCCCCTTATTTCAAGTCGGGGCAGCCAGGCTGGATGAAGACGGGCGCGTGTGTAGATGGGCATTTGGAGGCAGGGCCTTCACCTTCTCTCCCCCCCTGCAGGAGTCATCATCAAGAGGAAGAGTGGGGAGATCCCCTGCCCGCTGGCCGTGGAGGCGTTTGCTGCTCACCTTAGCTACATCTGCAGATACGATGACAAGTACAGCAAGTAAGTGGCCACAGACGCGGTCTCGCAGCTGCGCGGGACACAGGATAGATACGTTAGTAGGTGGTCGTTAGCTTCCCCAGTTTGAGAACACTTCACAGTCAGGGTGCAGCAACAAGGACACAGGTAGAGACTGCGGACGGCGAGCGAGTCCTGGATGGGTTCTCCCAAGAGCCTTAGGGTTCGAGCCAACTTCCCTGAACCGGGACCTCTGTACCTTGATCTAAGGGGAAGGTGGGGGCGGGGAAGGTTTGCTCTGAAGCAAGGAAGTACATTGCAGGGACCTGGAGCCCAGGAAGGGCTTGACCTTGGGGAAGTGGAAGTTCAGTGTGCACAGAACCCAGCCTGAGAAGGGCAGTTGGGAAGCTCGGGCAGCTGGCTGAGGCTTGCATACCACCCCACCTGGCACCTGGGCTGCAGCATCCAGTCTTCCCCTCTGATCCTTTGAGAGGAGCTGTTTTCATTTCCATTGTCTTGAACAGCGTTCACTGTGGCAGAGCTCCCCGACCCCGCCAAGCATGCCTCCCACCCACTCTGGGAGGAGAGCCTGTGGCGTCCATGTGTCCCGTGGGCCATCCTGCAGCCTTTCTCTTCCCTTGCCCACAGGTATTTCATCTCTCACAAACCAAGCAAGACCTGGCAACAGGTCTTCTGGTTTGCCGTCAGCATCGCCGTCAACAACGCCTACATCCTGTACAAGATGTCGGACGCCTACCACGTGACCAGGTACAGCCGGGCGCAGTTCGGAGAGAGACTCGTCAGAGAGCTGCTGGGCTTGGAGGACGCCTCGCCCACCCACTGATGCTGGGGGCGCCGGCCCGGGCTGGCAGGGACCAGGTCGAGGAAGAGGAGGAGAGCCGGTTGAGCCCACCTGCCCGGCCAGAGACGTGGAAACACCCTGGTGTGGGCCGCACCCAGGTCCCCAGCGCAGGGTCTCTCGCGCCACCCGTGCGACCTGCAGGCCAACCTCGGCTCTCAGCGAAGGCACCGCGAGAGGATGAGCTGCAGCGTGTTCCGAGAGAGATGCCTGCTTCGTGCAGATCCAAGGAGACTGGAGTTGGGGTTCAAGTTCAAGGTGGAGGAAGCAAGCAGGGATTGGCTCTGCACGGTTAAGGCAGTTCTGAGGTGTAGCGGGGAGGCCACGGGGGCTTCCAGCAGCTTCTGACGGGTCTCTTAGAAGAAACGCAGCCTGGGTGCGCAGTGCTGAAATTCGGGACTGAGTGAGGCCTTCCTGCTCCTTTTCCTCTGTGTGGGTGGGGGGAAAGGGAAACGCCAAAAGAGTTACAGTGAAGGGTGATGCTATTTTTTATTTTTAAATATATCTTCAGGTTATTTTCTTACTGTTGCTTCAGATCTAATGTAAAAGGCAGATGTCCCCCCTCCCCCTCGCCATCTCCACCCTCCAGCCCCAGTCACGGCTCCTTGCATGATCACACACCTCCGTGTTCGGCCTGTGGCCGGCCCGGGAGGGCAGCTCGTTCCCAGAACAGACGTGGCTGTGCTCCGCGGAGGCTTGTCACAGGCTCCGTCATCCCTGGCAGAATTACTTGTTTTGAGAAATATGTAGCATTGCTAAACAGACAAAACTCTCTACAGTGACCGGTGACCGTTTGCTCCCTGTCCCCCCTCCGTGTGCACCAGCCCTGGCAGCGTTTGCCGCTCTGAGCGTCCCCCAGGATGGTGTAGCCGGTCTGGAGATGGGCTTGAAATGGGGGCCGGGGGCTTGCTCACCTGAGCGGGACGGGAAAGACCGCGTGCCCAGCAGCCGGAAGCCAGGGCCCCGTTCACCACCTGGAAACATCTGCGGCTCTTTGTGAAACAAGGTTTATGCCTCTCCGTGGAAACCTCAGCACGTCTGACTGTCCCCACAGACGAGAAACAAGTAATTTCCGGAATTACCCGTTCTCCTTCCAACCCACTACTTTATGTAAGCACCTCATTTTTACAAATGCAAATCTATTCTACTCAGGCTTTGGGACTTTTTTTCCTCGTCCACACTCGTTAAAGAAGTGTTGCTGTCCGCATGCTCCCGGACCCCACGTCATTTCTGTCCTCTAGTTCATGACGATCCCCCTCCCCCTGTGGTTTTATTTCCACGCCACGACTGTAGGCCAAATTTTGGAGAAGGTGTTTCCAGACACCTTTGCTATGCCCTTTAAAATTGGATTGAAAGCACTTTTACCACATGGAGAAATATATTTTTAATTTGTGATGCTTTTCTACAAGGTTCACTATTTCTGAGTTTAATGTGTTTCCAACACTTTAGGGAGACTCTAATGAAAGCCGATGAATTTTCTTTTCTGTCCAAACAAGTAAAAATAAAAGTCTATTTAGATGTTGATTCTTTGTTAACATGTGAATTTTTTTTTTTTTTAAAGGTCAGGGAACAAACATACAGGCTGCTATTTTTAAGACTTGATTTACTGTTCTCGGTATGTTGAATCACTGAGCAGATTATAAAAGAAATTCAGCTAGGTTTTGACTCACAGAAATACATACTGATGCTGTAGTTCTATGAGTACAGTTGTATTTGAGGCACCTGTTTCTTTGAAAAACTGCCGGGCCTACCATCTAGCTTCTTTCCTTCCGGGCTGTGTCGTGTTGTTCCAAATTAGCAGGAAGAGACACTGTTCTGACAGGGCAGTAGGTGACATCGCATTCCCAAGTAATCACACAGTTTCAGTGCTGTATTTCTAAAGTGGTATCCACCTGTTTTCTGGTAAGTGCTAGAAAAAGCCATTCAGCTGGTCCAGGCGAGACCGTGTCAGGCTCACGGGGCGTGTTGTCAGTAGAGAAGAGTTTCTCTCACACCCCCACCCCCAGGAGGACAGCACACAGGTAGGACTGATTGGGAAACCTCCAGGGGCCGTGGCCTTACCTTGCAGATGTGATGTGGAGTCCCCTTTAGGAATTGAAATTCACCTGGCTCCGGTCTCTCTCCCTGGGGTTGACACGGAGTGGCTTGTTCAGTAGCCGGCCATCCCTGGGGACCAGAGAGGACCCAGAAAGTGGCTCTCATGAGAGAGGGCCCAATATGACTGAAGCCAGTGGGCACTTTTGCATCCCATGGCTGGTGGCAGCCTTCCCGCTCAGGTCCTGCCACTGTGACAAACTAAGCCCCCGTGAGGTGCCTGGAAAAGAAAGAACAGTGAGCTCCCAACCTTTATGCAAAACCGAACACCAGCAAAAGCTTCCAATCTTCTCCAGAGAAATCCCCCATCAGACCACACCTGCAGTCAGCTTTGCATGGTTTAAGAGACAGCACGGTGGCCACAGCTGTGTGCAGGATCGGGTGAGGTCATTCTTAGCCAAACCTAGACGGGTGAATTTCTGCTTGCGTTTGCCGCTGCCTTTATCGGGTTCCACGTGTGACTCGCATCATCTCCTTCCCTCGCTCTGTTCCCTAAAGAGCCTCAATTTGAACGCCGTCTCCCTGTGGCCAATGAAACACTATGCTCGGGTCATCTTCCGAAACTCAGGCGAGTCACATGGGGGAGTCTTGAGTCATTCTAAGCAAAGACATTCAGTTTACCAAATAAATTAGACAGGGCCTGGCCACCAAAATTGAATTGACTGTGCAGTGTGCCAGAGGCAGGACGATCACAGGCCCTCAGGACAGGGCCCGGAAGGTTCTGAGTCCTTTGCGTGTGACCTATACACCACCTCCTCCTCGAGGACCCAGCCGTAGTGTCTGATGATGAGAGGGGTCACCGAGCACCAGGTCAGGGGTGCCAGGCAGACCCACGTGGTCGTGAGGAGCACAACTTCTCCAGCCTCCATGGCTGTCCCCATGCTGCGTTCATGGAGCAAAACATTCCCCACAGGCCCCGGAAACTAGGATGAGAACATGTCAGTGACACACTGATGATGAGGAGGGAGAAAGGTGACTGTAGGTGTACTCACCTCCCTGACGTGTCACCTCCCCCCATGCAACTCATCGACCACAGCTCCCGTGTCTGAGCCACATGGAAGCCTGTCGGCCACAGTCGTCACATGTTTCAGAGCGGTGCTCCCCCCCACCGGAGCTTCCCTCTTCATGGGGACCCCAACGACGTAGGCACTGCTGTCCTCGCCCCGGGCTACAGGTGGAGAAATGGCATGGGGACAGGTCCAGTGGCTGGCCTGGTGAGCCAGCTAAGGGGACGAGTCTCACGCCCAGGCTGCCGTAGGCACTGGCTCTCCGGGTCCATCAGGAGGATGGGGAGTCTCATCCCTGATGCTTGTAGGACCCTTGGAGGGGGTCTTCACCTTTCCAGAGCCTTACAGAAAGGAGCCCAAGCCTCTCTTCTGATCCAAACATTGCAAATGACCGTAAGCTCCACGCTGTCGCTTTCCGCCCAAGTTCTTACCTAGACTGAGGGGGTGTTTGGGGCCGTAACAACTAATGACACCCGAGTGTACCTGGCAGGGAGTCGCTATCTCAGAGGACACTTAGATGGGGACAAGTCCTTAGCTGCGGTGGCCCTGAGATGGAATAGCCAGGCTTCCCTCCCCAGACAGCCCCATGTCACGGCACCAGGGAAGGGGGTCGGGTGTCCAGCCGTGGGATCTCACCACGGCGTCCCGCGATCTGGGCCAGAGTGGCTGTTCCCCAAATGCCACGGTTAGACTTTCTCAAGTCTTCACTACTCACCAGCTTCCGGTTCTGGTTCCGGTTCCATCCCTCTTCCTCAAGCAAGGGCTCGTCAGAAGTCCTGGGCGTAGGAAGCTGTGGCCTGTGTACTTGGAGGACCAGAGGAAAGAACCTCCCAATGTCGTCATTACCAGGGAAGATGTCCCCAGCACCCTTCTCACAGTGGCCGCCGAGGCCTGCTTTGGCAAGGGTTCCATCTGTGAAGAAAGACCCCTGTCAGGGCCCCTGGGTCAACCACGCGGCTTGGCTGTCGTCCCAAACACCTTCTATCTTCCCTGGGAATGTTGCTAAGACTTCTCCCTTTTGACTCCATTATTTAATCCTTTTCTCAGCGTGGCTTCTCTGTGTGTGTGTCATCTTTGAAAGTACTTCTAAAACTTCTAAGTATGTCATTCTCTCCCAAAATGAAAAGAATGGAATATCAGGTACCACAGTGGCACTCAGAGCCATGGCCATAAACCAGCAGCAGGTGGGCATGTGTCAGTCACCCTCTGGCCGGGCAGCTGTCCACTGGTGTCTGCCCGTTAGCGGGTGTCCGTGTGTCCCTCCCTCCCGGAGCCTGGGCCACTCCCCATCTCCCCACAGTCTGGCTCTCACCTCTGTCCGGTGGGGACCTGGAGCCTCCCTGGGTACAGGCCGGCGTGGCTGGTGCTGGTGGCTGCCGTATGTGAATCGCTCCTGCCGCTTCTCCACATCTGTGGGCATGAAGCACATTTGCCTTTCAGTGTATCCCCGCGTCTAGGTCTTCTTAAAGAAGAGATGCCCGTAAGGTGTTTGGTTGTCTGTTCTCATCTTCGCTAGCTACTCTACGAACAGATATAACTGAGGGGCCAGGACCACGTGGGGAGGTGGTGGCAGGGGGCTGAATCCAGCAGCGCCCTCACCCTCCGGAACGAGAACACCTTCCCTTGGCACCCCTCGCACGCACCTGGCTCAGCTCGTCCCCGAGAAAGCAAGTCCAAGCCTCCGCAAGGCGCTGCAGCCGGACCACGCGTGACCAGGACTTGCCAACCTGGCAGCTGGCCTTGCGAGCCAGTCACGTGAGTCTGCGTGCTGGAGAAGCACCTGCCACCGGACGTGGCAAGGAGAACGTGGTCCCCGCTCTCCCATACCCAAGCTAAAATGAGAAGTTCATCTCATAAATACTAATAAGTTGCAAAATGTTATTCCTTTCACCAGTGGCTTGATACTTGGTTCTGCTTTTTCCCCGGGAACCAGGTTACTGACCTCCTTCAGCCTGCCAATCAGTGCGAGGGCTCCCTTGCTCCCAGGTAGCGTTGGGTTTCCTTGTCCCCAGTAAATGTCTAGCATGCCACCTTTCTCTGCTAAGAGCGAGCTGCAGCATTGGCAAAGGTAGTGGTAAAAAAAAAAAAAAATCGGGTTAAAAAAAAAAAATGGGCAGGTGAAATTTTTATCTTTTGGATTGGTCCTTTCCCTAGACGTTGCTGTCTTGTTAAAGATTCATCCCACTTCCCCCTTGAGAGCTTCCTCCCAGGGAGGAGACCGTAGAAGGCATGAACACGTGCAGGGGAAGAAGGGATGGGGTCTCTGTTATTTCAATAGGTTAGAAAGATGGACCCAGAATAATTGTATACTTTTTTTTTTTTCTGTATAAATTGAAGATCTGGAGTTTCAGGATTTTTTTTTTTTTTTTTTTTTGAGACAGAGTCTCGCTTTGTTGTCCAGGCTAGAGTGAGTGCCGTGGCGTCAGCCTAGCTCACAGCAACCTCACACTCCTGGGCTCGAGCAATCCTTCTGCCTCAGCCTCCCGAGTAGCTGGGACTACAGGCATGCACCACCATGCCCGGCTAATTTTTTATATATATATCAGTTGGCCAATTAATTTATTTCTATTTATAGTAGAGCCGGGGTCTCGCTCTTGCTCAGGCTGGTTTTGAACTCCTGACCTCGGGCAATCCGCCTGCCTCGGCCTCCCAGAGAGCTAGGATTACAGGCGTGAGCCACCGCGCCCGGCCGAGTTTCAGGATTTTTGTTGGAGGCGTTTTTTGGTCACTTTGATCCATCTCAACATAATGTCATGGCATAATGCGACTTTTTCAGTTCATCACCTTATCCTCGTCAATAGAAATACAGTGTCCACTTAATTAAAAAATATATGTGTATATATACACACACACAGTACAGAGGCCAGAGTGCAACAAGACCCTGCTAGGGCCCTAGCGGTCTAGACGCATGTGCGGTCCTGGAGCCCACCCTGCAGTGAACCCCCAACATGCAACAAGAGATCTTGACCAGTGGCCAGTTGGGGTGGGGTGCCGGGAGATCGAGGATGGGGGGCCCACGTGGAAACCAAATGAAGGGGCATTAAAAGGTCGGGGTGATTCGCCTAGGGAAGCACTGACTTGGGGGGAGGGCAGTGGACACGACTTGCCTCTGGCTCTCCTGCTCCCCCTCTGATGCAGTCAGACTCAGCCTGAGTCATCCCTGGCCCAATGGGACTCGCTGGGTACGTATCCCTGGGAGGCAGCCTTCAGCTCGGTGGGGAGAGCAGTCCTAGCACTTAGAGCTGCACAGCGTGGGAAGGGGCGTCTCAGAAATGGGACACTCTGCCTTTACTGTCTGTCTCTCACCGGAGCCAGCTTGCCCCAGGGGAAGCTCCTAGAAGGTGCTGGTTCTCTGCGGGCAGGAAGTGGCCCCTGCCTCCAGTCTGTGGGCTTGGGCAGGACACCCGGCCTGGCAATGCCTGTCTTAACTAAGAGGAAGAAAGAGCCAGGAGGCTAAGCCCCAGCTCCTGGGCAGATAGATGCCAGTTGGGATGAAGGAGGAACCAAAATCATCAGAGACACACGCGACTCTCTCCAGGGGATACCCTCCCCTCCCCTGCCCTCCCATCCTCCCAGTTCTCCCCACTTACTCTAGCTCCAAGGAGCCACCAGCGGTGGCAAGGAAGTCCATGCCAAAGAATCTGGAAAGACTACTACTCGGTTTGAAAATCGTGTTCCCACTGTTGTACATTGTTTTTCTCATCTTCCCTCCCAATTTCCATTTAAGACTCTTATGCAGAAAATTCCTAATCTTATCAAGAACTGCACAAACATCACACAACCACATTCCCCTCTGCTGACACAAAGCATTCACCCTTTTGTGAAGATTCTGATTTTACACCAAGGCACGCTTGCAATAGATTTCTACAATTTTGTACACCACGAGCCGAGTTTGGGTTCTCAAATGTAAAGTTTGGCCAAAAAAAAAAAAAAAAAAATACTTAAGATACCTGAAATAAGTCATCTCACACCATGTGGTTTTTATTTCTTCAACGAAGTCTGTTTGCATCAGCAACTTTGAAATACAGTCAGAAATACTCCGTTGGCTTCTCCCTGGCAGTTTTTCTTGGGGGAAGTGCAGAGGGGGGCGGCAAAGATGCCAGTGGGCTCTGTTGCTGGAAGTGATGGCAGAGGTTGGACTGGGCCTGAAAACCATCCTCGCGCTCTCTGGAAGATGGACGGGGAGTGACAGGTAAAGGGGTCCGCCCTATCTCCCCATCTTCCTCCCCCCCGGCAGAGACCAGCTTGCACAGCCCGCACCTCCCCAGGCTGCTGCCGTCACCACTGCCACGCAGGCAGGCCTCTGCCATCCTCCTCCCCTCCGGAGAAGGTTCTGGAATCCGGGGTGAGCCGCTGTTGTCAGAAGCTGAAGCAGCAGGAGGAAGCAATGTCTGAGAGCGCAGGTGTGGGTGTGTGGGGGGTGTCAAGGACTCTACAAGAGCCTCGACTGCCCACTTGTGACTGTGGACGTCCCCAGTGCCCACACCCCTGGGAGGCACCCTCCAGCAAGTGCCAACCCAGCGGGAGGCTTCCAGGATTGGGTTCAAAGAGAAAAAGCTCGTGACTTTGACGGCCATGTCCTAAAAGGTCACGACGTGGGAACTGTTTTCATTAACTTTGAAAACCATTACATAAAATGAGATGGCTGAGATCTGCTTGCCAGGCACTCTTTTTTTTAAAAACACAGCATTTTAGGAGAATAAGATTTTGAGAAGCATGTGCTTTTCAACCTAAAATAGGAATTCAAATCTTTTTACAGCACATTATAACAAGGCTTTAAGTTTTGCTGTAAGCCAAAAATAATTTTCAAATATCCTTTTAAAATTTCAATGATTTCAAATCTTTGTTCACCAGACCTCCTATTAAGCACTAAATTTGCCTTTACTTGTTTTATTCCTGATGTAATAATTTTTAATAAAAATCAATGACTTCCCTCTACCACTATCTTTTATATCTCTTCCTTTCATCTTCCTTTTTTCCTTTCCACGTCTGCCTCTGACTCTTCACTCTGCAAATATCTGCTCCTTCTCTTCCAGCTTATATCCTCCTTTTCCTCCTCCCTCCTGTCCCTTCCCCTCCTGCCCTCCCCACATTCCACTGATCAGCCCAGAATAATCAATGTCCCCTAATCACTGTCCCTAGCCTTGCCCCTTTGTATGCAGAGGGGCTGGTCTGTGTCCCCACCCTACTGTCTGGCGTGCAGGTCTCAAGCCTCAGGGTTTCCACAGTCCTGGGGGACCTTCCCCCTCTCAACATTCAAAGATGAGCGGGGTGATGGGGTTTAGTTTACTGCTCTAGGGGCCCAGCCTTCTGTGCCACACTTGCTGTACTCTGATCACGTGTCCCAGTGCTGTGGGCCTTTGTGGGGCTCGCAGGAGCACGGAGAAAAACAAACAGCTCTGTCCTGGTCTGAGAGTAGAGGGCAAAAGGACTGAAAGTCATTCATGTAAAAAACTTTCCTTGAGCTCTTCTAAATCCCTAGGCACTATGCTAAACACTGGGATGGAAGGACAGTCTTCACCATCAAGGACTGTCTCGCTGGAGAGACACAAACACAAATACCTCATGTGGCCAGAGTAGTAACAGTACATAAACAATAAGCAAGGAATGATGACCATATTTTCTCAACCACAAATGGGGCACGTGGGCTGAATGACGCCCTGACACAGGGACAGAATATTTGGAAAGGAGTTGTTTTGGGGACCTGCGTGGGTTAGAGAGAGGCAGGCACGGATGCTGGTTCATGAAGGGAATAGGCCTGTTTTTTGGAGCAAGCCAACATGACACTGGCTAATTTGGGGCCAAAAAGCCCCAGGATCTGCCACTGGGGGAATCTTGGGCCAACAGGTATCAGCCTGACAGTTCTGCCCCAGTGCTACAGGGCAAGAGGATGCAAAGTCTGGACACATTAAAAATTTCTCCTAAAAGGAATGGTGAGCAGTGTGGAGGGAGGAGGCTCTGGATCCTGCGGAAGCCAAAGGTAACCGGACCAGGACTCTCTGTGCCAAGCGCTCCCCAGGCAGGAGGCTGTGGTCAGCTGGTCTTCTCTGCCTTACCCCATCCCGCCCAGCCCAGGAGCCAGAAAAAGATAGGGTGAGGCTGTTCTCCGAGAGAGTCCCTCGCCCAGCTGCCCAGCCTTTAGCCGGGCCTGAGCGAAGCCTGATGGTAGCGGCAGCTCCTTCCTTCATCACACTCACCACCCGGGGGCAAAGCATAGTGTAGAGACCAGGAGGGCGTCATCTAACCCCAAAATTGAGATCCGTGGCCTGCAAGCCTAGGTGTATTCATGGAGATAAGAAAACGCCATATTTAACAATCCAGGATTCCCTGAAACTATGTATATCTATTATGTATCAATAAAAAATATTGTTTCATTAAAAAAATTTTTTTCCATGATAAAATAAAAATCTAGGATTGTTGCTGGCATGGATGGATTGAAGAAGGGCCTGGGAAAGTGGGGGTGTGTAGGCAGCTTTGTCCGATTTCAACCCAGTGTTAGAGCGAAAAAGAAATACTTAACCACCTGGTCTTACCTGGGTCTCCCCCAAACCACATCTCCCGCCCCACCTTTTTTCAGAATCTGTCCCTGCTTTCCGAGATGATGCTTTTCCCGAGCTCCGCCAGCAGAGGGCAGCAGAGCACACGAGACAGAGCATCCGCCGCAGGTGCCTGTGGGCAGCTGCTGGGCAGCCCTCCAGTCGCCCCAGACGCAGCCGAAAGCGAGGCACAAGGTCTCCCCTGGTCCAGAGGGAGGAGAGAGAACAACGGGCAAATCTTCAAGACCTCAGCACTGTAATAGGGGCAGGAACAGGGGCAGGAATGGGAAGGGGACTTGCTGATCTTGACATATATTCACCCAGCCAGGAACCACCAGGGCTTGTTAGGGGCCGGGCACTTCTGGGGACAGTTAAGGACAGGGACGGTCCAGCAGGAGGCCAGTGTGCACAATAAACACAGAGGGTTGTGTACTCTCTCAAAGGATATCGAGTGCTACGGAGAAAAGAAAGTGCAGAGCGGATTTGGGGTCTGCAGCCAGCCACGCTGTTGCACTGGGACCACCAAGACATGCCCGGGGCCAAAGCCAAGGCCCTCTGCTCCTGAGCAAGGCCCCTGGGCAGCCCCATCTCCTACTCTGCCCCCAGCCCCCATTCTACAAGTGACAACAGTGATGCTCAAACAGGCCAACGGCTTGCTAATTAAACAAAGGTCAGGATTTGAACCCAGAGCCAGTCAAACCCTGAGCTCCCCAGTCACCCCAGCATCACGCCCCCCTCTTGGGCTCTGTGATGGTTCCTCCTGCCACTGCATGACACCAACACTCGGATCGCTCTGTGTCCTTGGTTAACTTGCAGGGACACCGTCAAAAGGGTAAGGGGGCCGTGCCTGACACTCCAGGACAGCTCATCCTCCTCCTCCCACAGGGTGCTGTGACAGGCAGTGGGAAAGCTGGGCATCGCACAGGCCCCCCCCCACCAAGGCCTTCCCTGCACAGGCCGCTGCCTGCATCAGACCTCTGTGGTTTCCAGCACACAAGGCCAGACAGCTAAGAGAGGTCTCGGAAGACAGGCTCTAAGAGTGGGATGGCCAGGCTGCTTCCAGCACAGTTGGTCTTAGCGAAAAGGCAGCTTTCAATTATTTATTTATTTTGAACTGCAGCTCCAGCAGGCTTAATTGAGGGATTTGTGTCTCATATTCGAGACTCGCCTTAGCTGATGTGGCAACATGGGCAGGAGACAGACTGGCCCCACCCAGAGACTGGTACAAGGCAGCGAGGAGCACAGCCTGGGGCTCGTTGGGCTGGGGCCTTGCCTGGACCAGCCCTGGCCCCTGGGGATTCTGGCCACGTGCAGGAAGCCATGGAGGACCAAGAGCAGGTGGCCGGGGACCTGGTCAAGCCACAGTGCCAGCTTGTCACTCAGATAGCTGTCTTCTCAGATGCCACCTGGGCCTGTGGGCACCGGGGCAGGGTGGGGTCTGTCCAGCTCCTATCTGGGCCCTGTGCTCTGGCCTGGGCAGCTTAAACTAGCCGTAGGCGACTAGGCCCTCACGTCTAGCCTCCAACTTCACCGTTCCCACTCCCTCCAGGTGTTGGGACTCAGGGCCTTCTGGGACTCTGAGCAGAGGTGGCTTCCCTTGCCTGGGGCCCAGTCCCTCTGGGGAGGACCCTCCTAAGATGACTCAGCCTGCCAATAACAGGGGCCATGCAGGAGATGTGCCCTGAGTAGCTCTCTCTGGAACCCACCCTCCCACCTGCTCAAGGGGACGGGGCCTCCCCCGAGTGCCGTGGGAGCTGGGAAGCCCACAGCACCCTGACTGCTGGTGCAAAGAAGTCACCCACCCACAACTATACCCACCGTGGTCTGAGGGGTTGCCCTGCACTGGGACCCACCAACTTTGCAAGGTCAGGGGACTTGGTAGGTTCTTCTTGGCCTTTAGGGACACAGCCCAAATGGAAGCAGAGAGTCCCATTTCAACCTCTTGCCCGGGACCTTGGCTTCCAAAGTCCAATCAGAGGTCAAGACCTGCTGGAGCCCGGCAGTGCCCAGGGAGAGCCTGCGACAGGAGGGGAACGTTCTGGAAGCCGAACTCCTCCAGAGTCTGGCCGTGCAAGACCATGGAAGCTGTCCTTGGTGGCCCCGCATTGCTGCTGCCCCCTTCCCTTTCTCCTACCTCTCCCCCACCCCATATTTGTTTGAAGAGCTGTTGGTGTGAGAACATGAGTCCACCTCCCCTGCCCCCTGCCCCCTGCCCCCTGCCCTCTGCCCCGGCCCGGCACACACCATCACCTCTGATGACGGAAGGCAAAGTGGAAGAGGAAACAACACAGGACATACAGCATGCAGTCTGCAACAGGCCACCGTCAGGTATGAAAAACTAGACTTTCTAAAAGATTCCATCCCAAGGAGGTCTCTTCTGTGGTCTCTTTTCCTTCCAAAGTCACCCTCCCCGGCCCCGAGCAGCAGAATGCAGTGGAGATGAACGACAGACCACCCAGCCCAAGGGAGTTGATGTGACACTGCTAAGGGACTGTAAGGTTTAAGGCAGATGGGGAGGGAGCATGATCCATTGTCTAGAGCCCTGGGGGGCAGGATAGATTTAGGAGGCCAGTCCCGGATCCCTCCTCCCTCCCCCAATTTGGCAGGGTTGGAAAAACGTGTGAGCCTTAAATTTCTCTGTCCTGAAATCTGTATGTGCCACCAGCCAACCCTCCCTGTGGAGTGCCCGGCCTTCCTTTTGGTGATCAGGAACACTTGCTACTTAATGACTCGCCAATGTCTGCAAATCTGCTCCAGAGCAGGTGCTCAGAGTCCTGGAGGTGGACAGACAACACCTGGAAGGGCCAAAGCCGGCTGTAAACGTCCAGGTGACTGTAGAAGAGGGATTACGCCAG